AACTTCATCTGCATTAGTTCATTTTTCAATGCATCTTTCTGATAGCAAGGCTATTGACATCCCTGAACAATGGTTAGAAGGGATTCCCCAGAGGCTTAATCAGTGTAGGGATCCGGCAAATGGATTGTGTGCTTTCACTGTCTCCCAATGCCCTCTGCAAATCTGGTGCTCAGAATTTTCTCAAGTCTTGTATTTTATGATTTACAATCCTTGAATCATACAAGGTACTGTGTTGCTTCTGTGTGGATTTTGGTATCACCTCATGTATATGGCTGCTTGTTTCTTTCTGATAGCTGGGATCCATCTGATTTCCTCACCACACTTTGCTGTAGCACCCATATCTTCAATGATCTGTGGTGGAAGTTTCTTGATTACCTCCTCTATTCCTTCTTTTGTTATTCTCTGTTGAGGTTTTCTATATCCATCTCTGTTGATTGGGGTTAATTATGTACTTCCAGACATTTGTCCAATTCTTTTACATTATCAAACTTGTTACAATATTGTCTTTCATAGCAGGGTGCTATGATTCTTTTAATTTTATTCTGATCCATTGTGATGTTACCTTTTCATCTCTAATTCTGAATATTTCTATCTTCTCTTTATTTTTCTTTGTTAAGTTTGTTAGTCACTTGTCAATATTGTTAATCCTTTCAAAAACCAATTTTTTGTGTCATTGATTTTTTTCTTTCATTGATTTTTATTTTCTAATGTATTTATTTCTGCTATAATTTCTATAATTTCTTTCCTCCTATTATTGGAGAGTTGATTTTGTTGCTCTTGCTCTAGTAAGAGGTTGTAAGGTGTTGATGTTGTATTTCTCCTCTTTTTCGCATGTGTGTGTTGATTGATATGAATAGCATTCTGACCATTATTTTTGCTGTGTTCCAAAAGTGTTGTTATGTTGTGTTATCACTCTCATTTATTTATTTCAAGGAGTTTCTTAATTTCATTGCTTATTTGATCTTTTATCTGATCATTTTTTTAAGTGGTGTATTTTCAGTCACCATGTGTTTGCCTTTATGTTCTTGTTCTTTTTTTTTTTGATACATAGTTCTATATTGTTGTAGACTGAGAAAATGGAGTGTACAATCTCAATTTTTTTAGTTATGAGTTTGTGCTTTCCGGCCTAATATGTGGTATGGTATATTCTACAGCATGTGTTACATGTACTGGAGAAAAATGTATACTGGGCTATTATTGGTGGCATGTTCTGTATATGTCTAGAAGATTGAGCTGGTTGATTCTGTTAGCTCTTGTGTTTCTTTACTGAATATCTTTTCTGATGATCTCTTTCCTTCAGAGGGTATACTGAACTTTCCTAAGATTATTGGCACACTTTCAATTTCTTTCATCATCTCTGTATGTATCTGCTTAATATAGTTCAAGGGCCTTTCATTGAAGCTGTATATGTTGATCGTGGTTATTTCTTTTTGTTCTCTTATTCATGTAATTATTACACAGTGTCTATTCTTGTCATTCATTATATTTGTCTTGAAGTCTATTTTATCAGAGATTAGTGGTATCACTCCTGCTTTTTTACTATTGCCATTGGCTTGGGAATTTTTTCTGAATCCTTTGATTTTTAGTTTATTTGTATATTTGATTTTAAGGTGTATCTCTTGTAGGCAGCATATAGATGGCTCTTTGTTCTTTCTTTTAAATCATTTTATTAGGGGCCCATACAACTCTTATCACAATCCATACATACATCAATTATGTAAAGCACATTTGTACATTCATTGCCCTCA